AGTGCCTGGGAACACAGCAGAAGATGGCCCATGGACCATCATGAGACCCACACGAGAGACCCAGACAGAGCGGCTCCTGACTTTTTGGACCAGTCCCAGCCACTAAGGCCATCTGGGAAATCAATCAGGCATCATAGGATTTCTCTTTCTGTCATTTTCCTCTACGCCCCTCACTGCTCCCCACTTCTAACTCTGCCTTTCAAATAAATAAAAACACATCTTAAAATATACATGAGGCTGGCACCGTGGCTCAACAGGCTAATCCTCCGCCTGCGGTGCCGGCACACCAGGTTCTAGTCCCGGTCAGAGCACCGGATTCTGTCCCGGTTGCCCCTCTTCCAGGCCAGCTCTCTGCTGTGGCCCGGGAGTGCAGTGGAGGATGGCCCAAGTGCTTGGGCCCTGCACCCGCATGGGAGACCAGGAGAAGCACCTGGCTCCTGCCTTCGGATCAGCGCAGTGCGCTGGCTGCAGTGTGCCGGCTGCGGAGGCCATTGGAGAGTGAACCAATGGAGAAGGAAGACCTTTCTCTCTGTCTCTCTCTCTCTCTCACTGTCCTCTCTGCCTGTCAAACAACAACAAAAACAAAACAAAACAAAATATACATGAAAGCAGGGGTGGGAGGCTGACAGGACATCACAAATATTCTGTTTTTTCCTTTTAGTTGTTGCTTTGCTTCATCCACTTTCTAAAATCATTCCACATTCCCATCAGTAGAACATCTGAATATGAATTGCAACGGTATGTGTACTGAGAAAATGAAAAAGATTAGCTGAATCATGAATATAAAGTCCCACTGCCCACAAGATGGCCCTGGAGCAGCCGGCAACAGCAAACTGCAAGACGCCAGAGAGCCGCAAAGCAGACTAAAGGACACGTGGGTGTGAACAAATACAGCAATACACTGGTATCAGCTCTGGGGTTTGACTTCACCTGACTCAGAAGCTTATAAATTAGACTGTGACTGTTTCACAGATGTTAGTAGAAGACACAAGACTCCTGTGTCAGAGACAAGGGACTTTATCACCCACAGCGCAGCAAACAACACAGGCATCTGTATGCTGGTGTCAGCCCCCCTGCTCCAAGTCTCACGTAACAACACAGTGGAAATCGAGACGTACCACAGCAGAGGCTGTGTCACAACCACTCCCACACCAAGCAATCAGCAAGTCTCCTCAGAGCAGTAGGAAGACATGAACACACACTTCAGGGTGGCTCCCTACAATCCTAACTCAGAACCAAACAGATAAACCTGCCAGGGCCTTGCATAACTGGGCAGGATGTAGAGGAACACAACCCACACAGTGCGGACTGTCTCTCCCAACAACTGCAGCCATCACTCTCACTGACAGAAAAGGGAAAAAGGACAGCTCTCACCACGACCTCATGCCACATCGCCACATGTGATCACATGGGGCAGGCATCTGGACTAATGGCTAAGATGCAGTCAGAAAGCACTGGAGTCAGCTAGTCGAATCCCTGGCTCCAGCCCTGACCCTGGCTTCCTGGTACTGTGAACTCTGGGAGGCAACAGTGATGCCAGGAATCTGGGAAACGTGTACTGAGTTTCGGGCTCCCAGTTTCAAAGCAGCACAATTCTATACACTATAGACATCTGTGAACCAGCAGATGTGATCACAAATAAAATAAACAAACAGATGTTGGGGCCAGCACTGTGATGTAGGCTAAGCTTACACCTCCACTGCCATCATCCCATATGGGAATGGGTTCAAGTCCCGGATACTACACTTTCAATACAGCTCCCTGCTAATGCATCTGGAAAAATCAATGGAAGATGGGCCAAGTGCTTGGCCCCCTATCGCGTGTGAGAACCTTGCAAGAAGCTCCTGGCTTCGTCATGGCCCAGCCCTGGCTGCTGCATCCATCTGTGGAGTGCACAAGCAGATGCAACATCACAGTCTCTCTCCTCCCCTCTTTCTTTCTCTGTATCTCTGCCTTTCACAACAATAAATTATAAAAAAAAAAAAGTAAAAATCTTTCGCTAAAACACCAAAACACACTTCAATGAAACGATAAATTTTGTACACAAAAGAACATTATCAGCAAAACAAAATGCAAGAAAGCATTTGCAAATCACATATGTGATAAGGGCTTAATACTCAAAATATATTAATAAAGTACCAAAAACTCAGTAACAAGACAAACAACCCAATTGAAAAATGAGCAAAAAATCCAAGGAGACATTTCTTCAAATATATACAAACAGCCACTAAGCACAAGACATGGCAGTCATTCTCATGACTCACTAGAACACAAATCAAATCCGCCAGGAGCTGGCCCGCCACTGTGGCGCAACCAGCTGAGGTCCTGCCTGCAGCAGTAGCATCCCATATGGGCACCAGTTCCAGCTGCTCCACGTGCGATCCAGCTCCCTGCTAACGCGACTGGGAAGCATTAGAAAATGGCCCAAGTCCTTGGGGCCCTACACTCATGTGGGAGACACCAAAGAAGCTCTTGTCTCCAGATTCAAATTGGCTCAGTTTCAGCCGTTGCAGCCACCTGGAGAGTAAACCAGCTAACGGAAGACCTCTCTCTCTTTGTACTTCTCTGAGCAACTCTGCTTTCAAATAACAAAATAAATGTTGAAACAATGAGATGTCATCTCACACTTCCCCAGGTGCTTACAAAGAAGAAAATACATGTTGACAAGGATTCGAAAAAACTAGAACCACAATTGGTGGACTACCACATGGTTCAGCCACTAAGGAAAACCGTTTGAGTTTTCTCAAAAGGGTCAGTAGAAAAATATCATTATGGGGGGTGGTGCTATGTTGTAGCAGCCTAAGCATCCACCTGTGGCGCTAGCATCCCATGTGGGAGCCGGTTCAATACAACCTGCTCCACTTCTGAACCAACTCCCTGACACGGACTAACGCAGTGGAAGATGGCCCAAGACCTGCCCCAGCAACAACGTACGAGACCGTCTGTAAGCTAATGAGAGCACAGGACTGAGCACCAGTGCAAAACAGGGAAGGGAAGAGGGCACAAGAACGGATGCAGCGCTACAAAGGGGCAAGAAATATGCCCAGAACCTAACGAAGAATCGAGAAGCTTGGACAGCATCACAGAACAATGGTGGAGGCACTGCCTGCAAAGCCAGCGTCTCATCTCAGAGCAGTGGTCTGAGCCCCAGCTGCTCTACTTCCAATCCAGCTTCCTGCTCCTGTCCCTGGCAGAGGAGGGGAAGGTGGTGGGCCAAGTGCTTGGTCTCTGCCACCCACATGGGAGACCTGGGTGGAGTTCCAGCTCCTGGCACAGCCCGGCCCATCGAGGCCATCGGGAGAGTGAACCAGAGGACAGACGGTATCTCTAACACTGCCTCGCAAAGGAGTAAATGAATATAAAAAAAGGAAAGAAAAAGAAGAGTTGACAGAAAAGCAATCTCAACACTGGGAAATTAGGCTCCAGCTACAGAGAAGAGAGGGAGGAAATAACAGAAAACACACACTCTCTTCTCAATACCGTGATTAAGAGTTCAAGTGACACAGAGAGAATGAGACCTGGCCCTCAGACAGCCACACTGAAACAGGGCAGAGTGCCAGGGACTGCTCAGAAAGGTGGCCATGAGGGCTGCTCCAGACGGGACACTCAAGGAAGACCTCTCTGAAAAGGTGACATGCGACCCAAGGTGGGACAAAAATCAACCAGAAAAAATAAAGGCCAGCAGGCTACACATTAAGAGGACGGAGATCAATCACAGACGGGCAGGGGTTCCGTCCAGCGGCACGAGGCTGGGAAAGCTGCCGGCGAGCTTCAAGGGTGGTGAAGAGATCTGGTTTACGTTTACACCGTCACCGTGTTTCAAGAGCAAGGGCATCACGACAAGGCAGAGGGCTTTCTCAGACCTCACGTAATTAGACAGTGTCAGCGTTTCAAAGGCAGGGCAGGCGCCAGGCACAGCAGGAAGGACACCATCTGGGACATCAGCACGCCTGGGCTCCCGTGTCCACTCCAGCTTTCTGCCAGTGCACACCCTGGGAAGGTAACAGCTAACAACTTAAGTACTCGGGTCCACAAAACCCACAGGGGAGACGCAACCCGAGCTTCAGCCTTCTGACGTCAGCACCGGGATCTCTGGTACAAGAGCACACAAGGTCGCCGTTTCCACCTCTGTCAATTGCATATGAAATGAAAATAAAGCAAAAAATGATTTTTTTTCTGACGCTTCCAACGTGAAGAGTCTGCAGTACAAGGTTAAGGAGCGCCAGCTCGCAGAGGAAGGCAAGGGCGCGGCACAGGGCAAGTCCTCTGCGGAGCAGCACCCGAAGGCACCTGTGGCACAGGCGTTGTGCACTCTGCCGGTCCTGCTCTGTTCCTGAAAAGAACTCTGGGACAAGCAGCAGCACCAGCCTCCTCGAATCTGCTTCACAGAAGACAGACTGCAGTTAAGTCAAGGTCAAGAGCTCCAGCTACACCAAATCCTTATGCAGATGAAGGAAATACAGACTGAAGGGTAGGCAGAAAGACCCTGGGAAAACAAGGGGTCAAAGGGCATTTTCCTACAAGGAGCCAAGTAATTCAGGGGTTGTGCCTATTCGGCTCCAACACACCCCCACACTGCGATGATCCAGGACCATTACACACACAGACGCAAATCCTGAAATAAACCACGGGCCTTGATGAGTTCACAAGCACAAATAAGGAATAACCACGTTGCCTACAGCTTGCATTGCTCACAGGATACCAGGAAACGATGCAGTTTCTTCCACCCTGTCTCTTGACAATATCTGACAGACTTGGCTGCTTTACAAGTGTCACTGTAGACTGGAAAGCAAAATTCAATGATAGAAACGTTAGGCTGGCTTTTGTTTTGATTTCTACAGGATCTTGAAACATCTTTCCCAACATGTTACACAGAGCACTAATATCAAAGTGATCAGTGTGGACTGGAGATTGCAACGGTGACTGCAGGGGCCAGCACCAGCAGGATGCGGCCCGTGCTGTGACACCGACGTCCCGCGGGCAGGAAGCATCGACTGTACCTTGTGAAGGAGGGAGCTTTCCGTCGCAGGGCCTCTGGAGGAAGAGGGAGTAAGGGCTCCGTTGTTTGCCTCCCCCTGCACACAGATCACATCAAGTGGGGAAATGAGTGTGGGAGTGAAATGCCTTCTTCATCAGACAATCCAGTCTGTGACTGTTCACCAGGGTCACTCGATTTTCCATGAGGTACTACTCTTCAGAGTCACTGATAACCACACATCAACCTGCCATGCTGCAACCTGATGCGGTACACAGTCTCACCTTCTGAGTATCACGGCTGCCATCAAACCCAGGCTCGTGGAGCAGCCTCACCGGCTGCTTCGGGGTTTAAACCCTCGGTTTGTCCACTTGAATCACTTCCAAAAAGGACAGACTGGCACTGTGGCGTGGCGAGTTAAGTCGCTACCCGCACTGTCAGCATCCCCTGTGGGGGCCAGTCTGAGCACCGGCTGCTCCACTTCGGGTCTAACGCCCTGCTAATGCGCCTGGGACAGCAGCTAGGATGGCCAAGTCCTTGGGGCCCTGCGTCCACATGGGGAGACTCAGAAGAAGCCCCTGGTTCCTGGCTTCAGTCTGGCCCAGCCCCAGCCAATGCAGCCATTTTCAGAGTAAAACAACAGAGGGAGGGTCAACCTCTCTCTCTCTCTCTCTCTCTCTCTAACTCGGCCTTTCAAATACATAAAAAGAATATCCTTAAAAAGAAATCCAAAAAGGAGTACTGAGCGAGTAACCTCGGCAGCCATCTCTTTTTTACAGAACTGAACACGGTGATTACCACTGGCAGACTCAGAACAAGCCCCGCAGGCAGAGTCAGATTCAACAAGTAATTCACCTGGGCGCCTGCCGTCTTTGACCTCAGTCAAAAAGCTTCCTCTAAGCCTGCCTTGCCTCATCAACTCAGACCCAGCAAGTTTGCCATATGCAGTTTCAGTCATTGGTCTTTTCATCACGCTATCTCCTTTTCAACCTTTCTCCTATAGAGGACTCAAATTTTAAAACACTTTATATAACGGAGATAATCTGGTGAGGAAGGCAACACATTTCTTTCCTAAAACACACATCATGATAAACCTAAGTTGATTCAAACACTGGATGTTGTGGAAATTGCTGCAGAGGAAAACACACAATCTAAAACAAAAACAAAACAAAACAAGCAAAGCAAACAAGCAAACACTCAACAGTGAGAGGAAGGACCCATTTTATAACAAATAACCAAATACAAGGACAGGCGATTAGCTCAGTAGTCCCATGTCGAAGTACCTGGATTCCATAACCAGCAACAGCTTCTAACTCCAGCTCCTTGCTAGTTTAGATCCTGGAAGGCAATGGTGAGGATTCAAACAGTTGGGTTAGGATAATCCACCTCGCAGAACTGGATGGCGTTCCCAGCTCCTGGCAGTGACCCTGCCCACGTGTCAGCTGGGCATTGAGAAAGCACCAGTAAATGGGAGCTCTTCTTCTTTCTTTCAGATAAATAACTTAAAACTGTACCAACTGCTTAAAACATGTGGGAAAGGGAGCACTAAACAGTAGTCAAGATGCACTTGAGATGCTTGCCGCCTCAGATCTGAGTGCCTTGTGCAAACACCAGCTCTGATCCTCATTCTAGCTTTTTCCTAACACACACTCCCAGAGGCAGCAGCTCATGGCTCAAGTAGTTGGGTCTTTGCTCCGTCCACGTGGGAGACTTGGACTGAGTTCCTGGCTCCCACCTCGGCCAGACCCAGCTCACCTACTGCAGACATGTGGAGGGCAACCTGGAGATGACTTCATTGATCCACTCATCCAGCCTTAAATGCATCTCTCTCTCTCTCAACTTTCAAATAAAATCCACCTAAAAATTCTTTAAAGAGCCTCTAAGGCAAAGTCAGTTTTAAAGCAATTTTTCAGAGGAAATTGCAACATCTAATTATTTACATTTTGTGACTTAATGAATGCTGTCAAAGCCATTACGGGTTAAGATAAACAACAAACAACAGACCAACATTATATCATCTCACTCAACAGTGAAGATACAGGAGTTGTAACAAGAAATGCCTCCACCCACCCAGGAGTGAATCCGAGTGAAGGAACTTAAGCATCATGAAGTGTACAGTCTTTAGGATGGTGAGATGTTGCTAGAGGTTAGCAGCCAAAGAGGGAAGACCCCACTTGCCCATGACGGATAGATAACCTCCCAGGGTCCACGCACAGAGTACCACTCAGGGCTGCATGCTAACATCACACTCTTCTGATGTCTTTCTCCTCTTCCTCACCTAGTCTGTCTGTCTCTTTCTCTCCTGTTCCTCCCCCTCTCCCTCTTTGTCTATACCTCTGCCTCTTAAATAAATCAATCTCAAAAAATTTATCATTATGACCCGGAAATTGTGCTTCCACATGTGTACATGAGAAGTGCGTATAGGCACTCAAACCAGTTGTTTGTCCATCAATGCTCAATGCACATTAAGAGAAGAGAAGAGAGCCGGCGCCGTGGCTCAATAGGCTAATCCTCCACCTAGCGGCGCCGGCACACCGGGTTCTAGTCCCGGTTGGGGCGCCGGATTCTGTCCCGGTTGCCCCTCTTCCAGGCCAGCTCTCTGCTATGGCCAGGGAGTGCAGTGGAGGATGGCCCAGGTGCTTGGGCCCTGCACCCCATGGGAGACCAGGAAAAGCACCTGGCTCCTGGCTCCTGCCAGGATCAGCGCGGTGCGCCGGCTGCAGCGGCGGCCATTGGAGGGTGAACCAACGGCAAAGGAAGACCTTTCTCTCTCTGTCTCTCTCTCTCACTGTCCACTCTGCCTGTCAAAAAAAAAAAAAAAAAAAAAAAAAAAAAAGGAGTAGAGAAGAACCAGACAATTCCAACGTCGACCACAAGTAAATGGTTCAACATAATGTGGGGCACACAACCAGGGGGTATTATTCACTGTTTCAAGGAATGAGGTTTTGCCGCAGGCTGCAACATGCATAATCCCTGAAAACTGCCTAATCCATGAATATGGAATATCCGGAATAGACAAATTCAGAGAAGCCAAAAACACAATGCTTGTTGCCAACGGCTGATGGTAGGGAAAGATATAGGTTCATCAATCAATGGGTAGGTACAGAGTTTCTTTTTGGGATGTGAAAAGGTTTTAGACACAGCAGTGATGAATGCCTGATACCAAGAATGTAATTAACCAATGAAATGCTTAAAATGGCCCATTCTACAATACATAATCTACCTCAGTGAAAAAATAGTTAAGATAATGACACAGATGCTACTGTGAAAAGATTCTCACAGGCCAAATTTTGGGAGAAAGCTTAAAGCATGAAGATATCCAGACACCAGGGGGTTGCAGAGGAAGGGGTGGACAGTACTAAGGCTCTCAATTCCATCCGTTGAAATGACTCCAGGAATGTAGATGCTTTTTATCCTAGAAGAATTAAGATTCTAAAATGTGCAAGAGAGGAACACCAAATTACTTTCAGAGGATCTCCAGTTAGACTCACAGCAGACTTGTCATCAGAAACCCTGCAGGCTAGGAGGGAATGGCGAGATATGGCCCAAGTCCTAAGTCAAAAAAACTGTCATCCCATAATATTATATCCTGCAAAGCTCTCATTTGTGAATGAAGGTGAAATAAAGACTTTTCATAACAAACAGAAATTGATAGAATTTGTGACCATTCGCGCAGCCCTGCAAAAGATGCTTAAAGATGTGTTATACACAAAAACATTGGCATCAATACAAAAGAAGGTAAAGAAAGAAAATCTCTCATTGAAAGAACAAAGGAAGTTCAAAGCATAAATTAGGAATATCTTGGAAAAATTGGCAGGGCAAAATCATTACTTATCAATAATCACCTTGAATATCAATGGCCTCAACTCTCAGTCAAAAGGCACAGACTAGTTCAAAAGATTAAAAAGCAAAACTCATCTATTTGCTGCTTTCAAGAAACACATTTTTCCAGGAAAGGCACAGGCAGGCTGAAAGTCAAATGTTGGAAAAAGATATTCCATGAGAACAGTAAACCAAAGAGCTGGCACAGCCACCTTAATATCAGACAAACTAGAATTTAACAGAACAAATGTTAAGTGATCAATTAAACAGGAAGATGTAACTATTATAAACGTATATGTACTTAATTACAAGACACCTGGCCTTTTTTTTTTTTTACAGGCAGAGTGGACAGAGAGAGAGAGACAAAGGTCTTCCTTTGCCGTTGGTTCACCCTCCAATGGCTGCCATGGCCAGCGCACTGCGGCTGGCGCACCACGCTGATCCGAAGGCAGGAGCCAGGTGCTTCTCCTGGTCTCCCATGGGGTGCAGGGCCCAAGCACTTGGGTCATCCTTCACTGCACTCCCGGGCCACAGCAGAGAGCTGGCCTGGAAGAGGGGCAACTGGGACAGAATCCGGCACCCCAACCGGGACTAGAACCTGGGGTGCCGGCGCCGCTAGGCAGAGGATTAGCCTATTTATTGAGCCACGGCGCCGGCTGGCACCTGGCCTTTTAAAAGAAATGTTAAAGGATTTAAAGAGAGACTAGGGGCCAGCGCGGTAGCTTAGTGGTTTAAAGTCCTGGCCTGAACCGCAGGCATCCCATATGGGCGCCGGTTCTAGTCCCAGTTCCTCCTCATCCGATCCAGCTCTCAGCTATGGCCTGGGATAGCAGTAAGAGATGGCCCAAGTCTTTAGACCCCTGTACCGGTGTGGGAGACCTAGATCTGGCTCCTGACTTCAGATTGGCGCAGCTACGGCCTTTGCAGCCATCTGGGGAGTGAACCACTGGATGGAAGACCTCTCTGTTTCTACCTCTCTTTGTAACTTTGTCTTCCAAATAAACTAAAGTAAATCTTTGGCCGGTGCCACAGCTCACTAGGCTAATCCTCCACTTGCGGCGCTGGCATCCCGGGTTCTAGTCCCAGTTGGGACGCCGGATTCTGTCCCGGTTGCTCCTCTTCCGGTCCATCTCTCCGCTGTGGCCTGGGAAGGCAGTGGAGGATGGCCCAAGTGCTTGGGCCCTGCACCCGCACAGGAGACCAGGAGAAGCCCCTGGCTCCTGGCTTTGGATCAGCACGGTGAGCCGGCCGCAGCGGCTGTTGGGGAATGAACCACCACGGACAAAGGAAGACCTTTGTCTCTCTCACTGTCCACTCTGCCTGTCAAAAAAAAAAAAAAAAAAAAAAAAAGAAGCAATGACTTCATCACCCTTGTGCTAACTGTTGAGGAACAGCTTACTATATTGTTCCTTTCTTTGAAAGGAGGAGAGAACTTCCACTTTGCTTATGACCCTGTCTGTTCTCTCTGATCTGTGACAACTAACTGAACACCTAAAATGAAACCTGTAGAAGTGAAACTGACACTGTGAGAAGCAATGACTTGATCAGCCCTTATCCTGTCAAGGAACAGCTTACTATTTTACTCTTTTTAGTATTTTTCCACTCAATACCATTGGTTGAACTCTTTATTTAACACAGAATTGTTCTTCTGTGTTTAAATCCACTTGACAATTGATCCTTGTTAAAAATAAGAGTGAGAATAGGAGAGGGAAGAGATGTACAGTTCAGCACACATTCTCTCAACTTTACCCCTGTGGATGACGCTAGAAACTTGCCATGAGACTCCAAATCCCATTAAGTCGGGAGGTACCAATGCCATCTTATTGGTTAAAGTGATCAGTTAAGTTCATAACTGATTATACGGATAGGATTAAGTGTTAAAGGGATCACATAAACAAGACCAGTGTCTGTTATTAATAATTGATAGAATTAAAAAGGAGAGAACAATCCAACATGGGAAGCAGGACATACAGCAGACACATAGAATGACAAATGCCCTGAACAGCATTCTGGCCTCAGAATCAGCCCTTAAGGCATTCGGCTCTGGCTAAAAAGCCCATGAGAGCATTGCAGGCATGGAAAGTCAAGACACTGTGGCAAAAAATGACCTACATGAAAGATCTCTGTGATGGAGATTCCTACAGAGAAAAGGAGCCATCAAAGAAGGAGATATCTTTCTCTGAAGGGAGGAGAGAATTTCCATTTTGATTATGGCTTTGTCTAAATAAAGTCGTAGTTTGTGGACTCAAGAGGCTTCCACAGCCTTGGCAGCTCATGACAAGAGCCTTGGGTAATTACTGATGTCATAAATCAGAGTGTCAATTGTTAAATCAACAACAGGAGTCATTGCGTACTTGCTCCCCAAGTAGGACCTCTGTCCTTAATGAGTTGTGCTATGAGAATTAACCGTAAAACTAGTCTTCAAACAGATACTTTGTGTGTCTGTGTCGGTGCAAACCATTGAAATCTTTACTTAGTATAGAGTTGATCTTCTATATAAGAAGATAATAAAAAATGAATCTTAATGAAGAATGGGATGGGAAAGGGAGTAGGAGGTGGGATGGTTTGGGGGTGGAAGGGCAGGTGGGGAAGGAAGAACCACTATAATCCAAAAGTTGTACTTATGAAAGTTATATTTATTAAATAAAAGCATTCTATTAAAAAAAATTAGCTTATCAGCTCCCAGGAAAGAAAACCAAGGATTCTGACTGGAACCACACTGACTTCTTCACAATAATGACTTTTCCCACCACAGCTTTCAGGTGCTGCCCCTTTTGTTCCAGTCTTCTTTCATGTCCTTTAGAAATTACGTGCAATTTCAGCTGCATAGGTCTTCCACAATTTGAGGATTAATTACTAGCATTCATTATATTTTCATGGTATAATGTTAAAAATTTTACTTTCTACTTTTACTAACAGTTGATTTTATTGTATTGAACATTGGTATTTTGGGAATAGTTCTAACAGTTTATAGGCTTTCTTGAAACTTCTGCACAGTTATCATTAAATAGTTCTTTTATTTTTTTTCATCTCACCCTTAACTACACCTTTCATTCTTTTTCTTGTCTTACTGTGGGGGCTAAGAGCTTCCAAAATAATGCTGCATGAAAGGTGTGACAGCAGATGTCATTGCTTCCATTCCAATTATAAGCAAATGGTTGTAATCACCATACAAGGCAGTAAACACTTCATTTATCAGTTCATGGAAATTCTCTTTCGGTCCCAGTTGCTGATAACTTTTCAGTAACCACTGAGTGCTGGATTATGTCACAGCATTTTTTCAGCATCTGTTCTCTCTAGTGCTCCTTTTGGGAGAAAGTCTGCATGGGTTCTGAGTGGCGCTGCATATACTTGCTGTGTATGCCAAATCGCACATTCTCACTATCCAGACACTGAACCATTTCTGTGGCTGCTTACAGAGATAACCACATTGGTCCAAGTGCCCACAGTGTGACCACACCCAGCTGCTTGCAGCCATGCACAGGACCGCCTTGCTTTGTACTTGCTACTGAAGGTAGTGCGCTCCGGACCCTGGATCCCTCAGCGGCACTGCATCCCACTGCGTGCACAGGCACACTGCTGGGGGAGGCCACGGCCACACTGCTCTGCTGCCCCTGTGCTGTGGACAACAGACTACCACATTCTGCTGTCTACTTGGGGCAACTCTGGGCTTACTTCAGTGGACTCCCTGAGCTTTCTGTGAGGTTGGGGTTTTTTTCCTGACAGTTCATCAGAGATCTTTAAAGAGTTCCCATAAGAACTTCCAATACTACCACTGTGACATCATTTAACAAACAACTGGCCACCTTAAATCTGTGCATTGCCTTCCATAATATAACAGAAGGAAATGACATGTTTTCACAACAGAACTTTATTGATCAGAATAAAGCAACTAAGAGAGCACCAAGTAAGAGGATCTGTTTTCTAAGGATGCAAATGTTTCCAGAACGATACTGAGAAAAGCGCCTTACACTCTAACTAAGCAAGCCTGTACCTCATAATGCACAAATTAAAATCACCTAACAAGCTGTAACAATGTCATTCAAGTATTGAAATATATCTCGTAATTTCCACCTTACAAACACAGTCACAAAAGAAATGTAATGCTTGTTACTTTCAAAATGTTCAACACTAATTAAGTAATTTCATCTTATGTGCTTTGAGGTTAGATTTCAACAGCATTTCAGTGAGTCACCTATCAAAGTACTCAGGTGCTGTTTTCCTCTTCCTACCTGTATTCAGTCTGTCTGCTTGCAGAATGGTCATCTCTCGTCCACCGATAACCAGAGTCATCCTGTAACATGAAAATTACTCAGATGTTTATGTACATTACATTATATGGACAAGAAGCTGTATCATCAGTACTACCGCAAAATACTACGAGCAATAGAGCATCAGGGCAAAAAACAAATCCCTGTATTTTCCCAAGCTTCACAGACACAAAAGAAAAAAAGAAATCACAGCAAGTCATCTACTCAACAAATAAAACAGAACTGCGATGCCACTGTACTAAAAAGCTTAAATCATGATAGAGCCAAACAGCCAAAGGCACGTATGCCAACACTACAACAGTTAAGAGCTGTTTGAGGACAAAGGCAAAAATCAAGAAAACATTTCTCAAACCTTCATGTTACTTTCCTACTGTCAATTGCTAAGCAATTTCAGGTTCAAGTCCAATGAAGAACTGGCTATTTTCCCACTTTCCTTGCTCAAGTTTTCTTTTCTCACCTTATCTCCCATTAAAAACCCAAACTGTACTCAAAATAGAAAGAAACTGTCACTAATGACAAGCTACATTAGAGCAACACGTGGCACTAATTTTAAAGGTAAGAAATGAAGCACATTTTGTCCTCCAAGACAAACGTTACTTGCAAATGTGCATGAAAAGAAACCACACAGTAATCCATACTCAATCATTTTCAAATTATACAGGGGCCAGCGCTGTGGCATGGTGGGTAAAGCCACCGCCTGCAGCACCAGCAGTCCATATGGGCGCTGGTTCGAGTCCCAGCAGCTCCACTTCTATCTGGCTCTCTGCTGTGGCCTAGGAAACCAGTAAAGGATGGCCCAAGTCCTTGGGCCCCTGCACCCGCGTGGGAGACCAGGAAGAAGCTCCTGGCTTCTAGCTTCAGATCAGCGCAGCTCCAGCAGTTGCAGCCATTTGGAAATTGAACCATCGGATCGAAAACGTCTCTCTCTCTGCCTCTCTATAACTCTGCCTTTCATAAATAAATAAATCTTTTAAAAAATTAGACATATAATACTTGTACAACCTGTAAATTTCTTAAATCAGTAAAATGATTCAGTTAAATATTATTTTCATCTCTCTTTGGTCTCACATACACTGTTCTTATGTAAGTAAGAAAATGAATCCATCATTTTCTTTCTCAACACTAAAATATAAACAAGACAAAACAAAAAACTCAACAGCTATAATCGAATAGAGGATCAAGTAAGTAGTTTGCGTTATACAACTGAATTCAAGATAAGAATCAGTGTCTCCAGAGTCTTAGGAATCAAAATGTGCTTGTTCATTTCAAGGACATTTAAACAGAAAATGTATAAAGCAGGAAGACAAACAGAATCTGCAACAACAGAGAACAACTGTAGATAAAATACTATTAGAAGATTTTAGGGGCAAAAAAAGTCATGCTCATGAGGTTTCAAATACAAATTCAACCAATACAAAACTCTGTCTATACTGAATGGCCACAAAGGATTTTTCCCAAAAAAAGCTAATGTTTATGCAAAGGCCAAATCATTTCTCCAAGACTACTCAAAGAATGGCTCTGATGACAAAAACTCTAAGATATTGCAGTGCTGATTTTTTTAAACACCCAACCTCTCTTCCGAAAGGAACTGCATGACATTTAAAAACTGAAGATAAAAATAGATTCTGTGAAAAGAAAGCTATAACACCCCAAACCTCAAAGAGAAGCACAAGCAAACAGCGAGTTTCTCATTACCAATTTAGAACTGTTACAGGTCACTAGTGCATGTACCAGGAGCACTGGACTCCCAGATACATCCAACCCGAGTAAATCACCTTACCTCCATCTCTTCAAGCAAGAGGAGGAACACTAATGCCACAGCCCTTGTGAGGTCAAATCTTACTAGGCACTGTGTTTGAACAGGAACTATTAATGGCCTTATAACAAAGTAGGCAAAGGGGAAAAGAGAAAAGCAAGGAATAAGTCTGGCAGAAGAAATGTTTAAACATGCAAGCCAGGGCAGAGGAACTACATCAAAGAATAGTTGCAATCCAGATTAATAACATATCACTGCAACATTAAATATGCAAATTATCAGATTAACAATAAGTGCTGCTAACATTGTGGAAGCCCATAATACATGACAAACTGAGTTAGTAAACAGATTTAATAATTCTAACAAAAACTGAGTATTAACCCAGCTTCACCCATGGTATTTTATCAGGATGAAGACCACTGTTAAGTAGGCACATCCAGTAAGAGACAGGTGGTACCACCTGCTCATCACTTGTTAAGGACTATGGCATCCCATCATTTTTATACAGCTCTGCAAATCTCTGCCAATTTAGTGGGTAGAAAAGCAGCCCAGGGGACTTAACTTCATTAAGGTAGAACTAACCAGGGTGCTGGCTCACTTTTTCAAACACCCCAAGATGTGTGACACTAGTGCCCATCTGACAGCCCAAAGAGGCAATTCAGTAGAGCATGACAGGGAGTACTGATTCAGTTGCTTTCATAGCCATCATATTAATCTTCAACACACGCAAATTTTAAACTATAAGAACGAACAGTTAGTACACGGGGGAAATTTACATACTCCTCTGTGAGGCGGACCACTTCTTCGATCATGAGAAAAACTGCGGCCCTCGTCATATTCTCGGTAATCAACATGACTGTAATATCTATTGTAGCTTCCTTCACCAGGTCTGTCTAGCAGTGGTGGTTTCTTTGGCACAATATTAACTACTCTACGGTAGCCATCCTAAAACAGACAAAAAGAAATATATAAAATCACTAATTTCTCTGTTTGGCTTTGGAACTGTTTTTAACAAGCAAAGGAGTTCTCATCCTTAATCAAACAGGATAAATGTATAAACAAACAAAAATACATTAATGAAATAACATGCATGTAACTAACATTAAAGTCTTCACACGGATTAAAGGAAATTAAACACTCAGGTGTACAAAATAACATGTAGCAATGCATAAACCAATCATAAGTAAAAGGAAAATTATCATTTTAATAAAAATAAACTTGAGACAGTAAAATGTTACAACAGTTCTATGCCTACTTGCCTAAGAATCTAGGAAATAAAACAACGTAAGATCGCACACACATTTTGTCTATGTTTAAACTACACTGTGTGGAGGAAATATAAATACAAGATTTGGACACAAGCAACAATAAACAGGGAGAAAATCTTGAGGTAGAAAAGTCAAAAAGGAAACAGTCAGTGCTTCTCAAGCAGCACGAGAAGAGTGCTTGTGCCTCTACCGGCATGGAAGCAAAAAAGAAGCTGACACAAAATCTGGACCAATCTTCCAAGGACTGAGCTAACATTTCAACATTTTAGCAGTGACGTTTTGTGGAGCTTTGGGAATTACAGCAAGAAACCGGGCAAGTAGCTGCTGTCATAACTAACAAAAATGATACCCAGCCGAGAAAGAGCTGCCAAAGACGCACCTGTCATCTGTTCTTGGGCATGCATTGTGCATCTATCTAGCAATAAGAAATGAGATGTTTAAAAATGTGAAAGCTCAGGCCGGCGCCGCGGCTCACTAGGCTAATCCTCCGCCTAGCGGCGCCGGCACACCGGGTTCTAGTCCCGGTTGGGGCGCCGGATTCTGTCCCGGTTGCCCCTCTTCCAGGCCAGCCCTCTGCTGTGGCCAGCGAGTGCAGTGGAGGATGGCCCAGGTGCTTGGGCCCTGCACCCCATGGGAGACCAGGAAAAAGCACCTGGCTCCTGGCTCCTGCCATCGGATCAGCGCGGTGCGCCGGCCGCAGCGCGCCGGCCGCGGCGGCCATTGGAGGGTGAACCAACGGCAAAGGAAGACCTTTCTCTCTGTCTCTCTCTCTCACTGTCCACTCTGCCTGTCCAAAAAAAAAAAAAAAAAGTGAAAGCTCAGTGTTAGATGTAATGAATACGAGTTTACTGATACGGCAAAAAACTTACAAAATCGGAAAGCTCAATATTCAGTGCTGGTTGCCATCCTAAGTCTCAGTGTTACCAACTGTAATACGGAACTAATACTAACACATTCCTCCTTGAGTTGCTCTGAGGACTCAATAAAACAAAGTAAAAAGTGCTTGGCACAGTAGCCAGCACACACCAAGTGCCTACGTGCTCTTTGTTCTGTGACTACCATCTGTACAAGTCTACCGAAAACATTAAATTCTAAAAGTGTTTCCCTAGACATTAATATCATGTACATTTGCCTAAGGGTAGGATTTTTTCAGTGACAGGAAAAAAATAAAATCTACAGTTTGCTAGAAAGTAAAAATGACCTAATTTTTTTCTAGTAGGAACAGAACATTAATTGTCCCACAAACAACACCCAAGCACTCACCAACGGCTCCCCACATCACACCCTCTGAGGTACCATGACTGTCAGCCATGCACAGACAGCTCCTTGCCGCAGATCCTCAAGGCAGTGGAATAGGAACGTGAACAGTAGGTGGCAGCTCGCTGCCTCCCTGCCTGATGCTTCTCCCCTCACACCTTGAAGCTGGTGTTCATTACCACCATACCAGTGTTTACATTTTTATTATAAATATACTACTATGTATAAAGACAATCTACTTTATTTTGGCTTTATTTTTATACTGCATAAATGGTATAATGGCTAACATTCTTTTCCTAAGGAATTAAAAAGTGGCTTTATTCTTTAGCACTTTAGATACTAAAATGTATGAAATACCCTAACTTCACAGATCTGTACACAAATGACTAGAATGGCATTTTCTTCTAAAAACTATCCTACAGAGATTCCAATCATATGTAAACAAACACTGAGCTTCAAAATATGATACTAAAACAAAATTACAATTTGCAGCATTTGCAATTCAAAATGTCTGTTCATAACATAAGAGTAAATGAATTCTCCAATTTCAGAAACACTAAAAACTCCTTCCATGACAACCTTATTGCACATGTTCATTTGCAGGGATGCTCTCAAGGGTGCCAGCTTGTCTCATCCCAGGTGGTCTATTCCCATCTTCAAGCAAAAGTGGTTTTTGGAGTACAATACATAAATGAAAAAAGTTCAAAGAAGGAAATTCAACTCACATTTAGTCATGCATCCATAGGCATGCCAGGTAAAGTTTCTGACAGGCAGAGTGGACAGTGAGAGAGAGACAGAGAGAAAGGTCCTCCCTTGCCGTTGGTTCACCCTCCAATGGCCGCCGCGGCCCGGCTCAGTCCTAGGTGTCGAGGCCAGGAGCCAGGAGCCAGGTGCTTTTCCTGGTCTCCCATGGGGTGCAGGGCCCAAGCACCTGGGCCATCCTCCACTGCACTCCCTGGCCACAGCAGAGAGCTGGCCTGGAAGAGGGGCAACCAGGACAGAATCCGGCGCCCCAACCGGGACTAGAACCCAGTGTGCCGGCGCCGCTAGGCGGAGGATTAGCCTAGTGAGCCGCGGCGCCCGCAACAACTGCTTTTTTTCCAACCATTAATTAAAAAATGTTCATTTGGAGGCCGGTGCTGTGGCGCAGTGGCTTAAAACCCGAGCCTGTAACCCAGGCATCCCACATGGGCACCAGTGCAAGCCCTGGCTGCTCCACTTCCAATCCAGCTAATGTGCCCAGGAAAGCAGCAGAGGATGGCCCAAGTTCTTGGGCTCCTGTACCCACGTGGGAGACCCAGAAGAAGCTCGGCTCCTGCCTTCTGATCGTCTCAACTCCAGCTGTTGTGGCCTTTTGGGGAGGGAACCGGTAGATGGAAGACCTCTCTCTTTGTCTTTACCTCCCTCTGTAACTCTTTATTCAAATAAATAAAATCAATCTTTAAAAAAATGATCTTTTATTCAGATGGCATAATAAAAATTCTCAAATGGCAGTTCCTGTACCTGGCAGTGCAGATCAAACTGGCACTCCCTGTGTGTTCTAAGTGTCCACATACACCAAGTGCATGATAGCATCTCGGCTCTTCAGAAACCTAATTGGAAAGGCAGCTACCTGGCTCTGCGAACAACGAGATCAAAGGAAATGAAGATGACTCTGGGGGTCTCTACAAGGCAGGACTGTATTTTCACGGCTTCATATCACAGCCAACATAACACTTAGGGATTTATTTTTCTTTCCAATAAAATCTACAAGTTGCAAGGATTTTTAGGATTCCTCTTTCCACATTAAAACATCCACACACAGTGTATTACCTGTATTGCCAGTCCTGAAAAAAAAAAAATGCCATCACTGTTTGAAATTCATATACAAAATTTATATTGAACTGCAAAAGCTTAATTTTCCTTTCTAAATGCTAGCACAAGTCTTAAAGAACTGCTATGTTATGAGCCTCCATTTTAGAAATATTTTGGGAAATAATTGCACCATTACATATAAATGAGAAGTAAAACTTAATGGCTTATAAGAATATCTTAAAAAGCTAAGGTTAACATGGTCACTTTCAATTATTTAAAATATAAACTCAATTAAATTGAAGCATTTCTGATATTCCAAAAGCAGGTATCTTTAGTTTGAACATAAAATCCAATTTATTTCAATGAAATAAATGATCATTTCCTCTACTCATTATGGAAAACATCTACCTATAAATTAATATGCATAATGTGTATATACATCAGTGATTAAATATCCCTATGAAAAGATCAGAATTTTCTGTGGATGTGACTAAATTTCCAAGAAATATGTTCATAAATAAATGGATTTGGGCTGGCGCCGCGGCTCAATAGGCTAATCCACCGCCTGTGGTGCCGGCACTCCAGGTTCTAGTCCCGGTTCGGGTGCCGGATTCTGTCCCGGTTGTCCCTCTTCCAGTCCAGCTCTCTGCTGTGGCCCGGGAGTGCAGTGGAGGATGCTCCAATCCCTTGGGCCCTGCACCCGCATGGGAGACCAGGAGAAGCACCTGGCTCCTGGCTTTGGATCAGCACAGTGCACTGGCCGCAGCACGCCAGCCGAAGTGGCCATTGTGGGGTGAACCAATGGAAAAGGAAGACCTTTCTCTCTCTCTCTCTCTGTCCACTCTGTCAAAAATAAAAAAAAATACATAAATAAGAAAATAAAAGAAAAAAAAAATGGATTTACTCTTCCGAAGTTGGTAATCTGTCAGACCAAAAATAAAAAGTAAATGTAGCTAATTTTTAAAAAAAGGATCTGCTTCATTTAACCATTTATCTACTCTGCTAGGATGTACAAAGCAGAAACACGCACATAAGTACTTTTTCGAAAAGTCACGCTTCCCTGAAATTACACTTTCCGATCTGTCGTTATCTTAGGCGCAATCACTGCAAGACTCTGGAAGGTGATGGAATCAGCCGTGTGCAGGCTGCTATGCCAATGAAAATCTGATCAGAACAAACATACACCAAAGGAGTTTCGCAATTTAGAAATCTGAAAAAGGACTGTGTTGTATCACGAAATAAGCAGTTATTTATTAATTTGCTGTACCAGCCTGTTATGAAAAATGCTTTCATTTCAGTAACTAAAAGCACCAAATTGGTTTTACTTTGATTTAATATACTTCCCACGTGAATGTTAAATTTTATAATTAACTAGGTATAAATCATGTGGATTACTGTTTCTTTAAAAATAAATCCGCCACCCATTTTAACACAGAACCATTTTATTTAAAGTAAAAATGTTAATTCTTAAGCTTCCCTATGACACATCCTTACCTTTCGGAGATTAACTGAACTATTTACTAAGCCTGCAATATGGCATCAAGGGATTACCTCACGACAGTCCAGGGAAGGGAGGAGCGGCCTGGAGTTGCTAAGAGCTGCAAGGCTGCTGTCTCACCTGGGAGT